GTCATTCGATATTACATAAAAAGATTATTCAGTATTTATTGAGGGTTTGTTTCTTTTTGGGAGACGCACTCAGAAGTAAAATCACAGAACAAGTTTGAGCTAAACATGGAATCTTCAATAGTTATGTACTCATCTTGTAATTGAGTGGTTTTAAGGAAAACACTAGATGGAATTTGATAAAAAAAAATATATGTCAACACATTGTGACAGAAAAGTACGGCTTCTTTTATGAAAGAAAATTGATTGATAATTTTGGATTGAAGCGAATTATTTACTGCATCATATCTCTATTCATCAGGAGTGACATAAAAAGATTATTAATCATTTAGTAACGTTTTGTTGCAACAACAAGTTTGAGTTAAACGTGGAATCTTTGATGATTCTGTACTCATCTTGTAATTAGGTGGTTTTAAGGAAAACACTAGAAGGAATTTGATTAAAAAAATTCAACACCAAACTGCCTAATGTCGCGAAAGGAATTTTCAAAATTAAAGGTCTCTAAATATGTCTCGCTAGACTCACTCGTCATTAAGGTAATTCTTGAATTTTTGGATTCAAGAACTATGGGGTTATTGGGATTGACTGGTTATTCGAGTAGGATAATTCGCAAATGAATAATTTTTAGTACAATGAGAGAAATTGTTTTTCGACCGGTATATTCATATTCTACGTTACCCCACAGGCTATTTACTCGGTCCACCCGTAGGTGTTATTAAGGTTTAAATTATATGGAAAGCAAGATGCTAAATGTCATCTTTCAGGGAAACAAATAAATAATCATCAATGCACAAATTCAGAAATTCGGAATAATTCAATAATTTTAGTATTAAACGCTCTCTGACAGAGCATGCAACAAGGATATCGACTGCTATTCAAATGCAAATAAATTCATTGGAATCATTGACAAAAATGGTGAAAGAAAATAAATTGATAATTTTTAGTTGAAGGAAATAATTAATTGTATTGTGAACGTATTAATCAAAGACGAGACGAAAAGACCATCGAAAATTGACTGAGATTTGTTTTCAATCTGGAGGAAGAATTCAGGAGTGAAATCACCCATCAAGTTTGAGTTGAATATGGAATCTTTGGTAATCACGCTTTCATCTTGTAATTGGGTGGTCTTCGGGAAAACATTAAAGGAAATTTAACCGAAAGATATTTCAACATTTAATTATCTAATGTAGCTCAAGGAATTTTCTAGAAGGAAAGTTCTCTAGATGTTTCTTTCTGAAATCACTGATGATCAAGATAATCCAAGAATTATGACGTTATCCGGATTAATTGTGAGATTATCCGGATTCCTGTAGATTGATAATTCGCTAATTAATTGGTTAAACACCGCACGCCCTGTGGCACAGAGACCACAGGGACTTCGGCACCACTGGAACTCAAGTGTAAATGAGTTGATTGGAATCATTGAAAGACTACATGACTTCTTTTATGAATAAAAATTGATTGACAATTCTGGGTTGGAACGAATGGCAAATGAGCGATCATTCATTGATACAAGTTTATATTCATCAGAAGTAGAAATTATCGGATGAAAAGAAAAGGGACTCTCAATAAGTCTGGAAATATTGTTTTCGTCTAACATTGGAGTCACAAATCAAGCTGAAGTTGTGAACATGAAGTATTTGATAATTTTCTTTCATAATTGAGTGGTTTTAAGAGAAATAATGATGTGGAATGTGATAGAAAGACATTTCAATACTAAATTATTGTGACTATTACTATTTTCAGGGAAAAATGTCAAGAGACATGATTAATGTAACGAAAAGGTCCCTTGAGATTTCGTCCAAAAATCCCTGATCGCCAAGCTAATTCTGGAATTACGAAATAATTGGGATTGACTTATCACTCTTGTTTTATAATTCCAATGAATATTCAACATTTATGCAGCATTCACTATCGAGGAGAATAATTCCAAAAAGGAAGTGACAAATCAAGTGGAAATTAAATACTGTTTTTACTTTCATTATACATTAATTGTTGAATTAAGTATTGAACTGTTCAATTATCTTTGCAATTCTAGGGGATAATATCAGGAGACGTATTTTTTTTGTATCAAGAATTTTCAGCAAGAAAAGGTTTCGTGACATTTTTACCTAAATTAGCTGATCGCCAAAATAATTCGAGACTTCAAGGAGAAAAATTGGATAAAAATTACCTAGAAAATCGTGGCAAATTTTACTGAACGAAAGGTAATCGTCGAGCGAAATATAATTCAATGAAAAAATACCTGTTTGTGGAGAATATTTTACGATTCATTCTGTTGAGAAAAAACGCATCGATGGATGTAAAAATTATACTCCTGTACAGTATAATTTTCCACACGGGTAGGTTATTTTTTTCTTGAACCCATCTGAAGATTGTGAGGACGAATGGAAGTAAAATTTTACCATAGCAAGTGTATTAGAATAATTAAAAAACATGTCTTGTTATAAAGAGAATTTATTCATAATTTTGAGCTGAAGCGAATCCCAGATGATGAACTGTACATTGTATCAAGTTCGTATTTATCAGAGTCATGTCACACAAACCAAGTTAACATCAAACATGAAATGTCTGGTAATCAGGTATTCATCTTCTAATTACAATATTCCACGAGAAAAACTCTGGAATTTGATAACATATTTCAACACTGAATTACCACCTAATATAGCTCAAAAAAATTCTAGAAGGGAGGGTCTCCGGATATTTTCTCCTAAAATCACTGATTATCGTTTCGATCAAACGGTGTCCGATCAAACCGGTGTCTCAACGGTCTTACTATCTAAGAAAAACATCAATAGCATAAAATTTTTATTAATAAGGCACCTTTCACCTTTGAACTGATTTAAGGCCATTTCAGCATTAAATTGTTCAACTAATGAAGGAACAATACTGCACTGAGAGTGAAAATCTGCTTTCCCAAACAACTATATGTTACACGTGAGAATATCTGACGGAATGGAACAGACTGACTCGAGCGAAATTAACCAACTTGATAAAAGTAAATTCAAAGTCTCTCACAAAAATTAAATTTTCGTCGTGACCGTCAGAAATATCCCTCGAGAAATTCGATCTGTTGGCAGGAAAAAATTCAATCTATTGTACGACAATAATTCGATCTGATAGAACTCCCTAGGTTTATAGCATAGAAAGAACACATTGACGGAGCATTCATTTTTAAACATGAATAATCGATCTTCAATTTATGAGAATTGCACACCTGTCACAACTCGACGTCACGAGTCCCTAACCGAATAACAGACAATGCTCATAAAATAATATCTCCGAACCGATGAATACAGATGTCGAGTCGATTAAACCTCCCATTGCGCTTCCTGAATGAATGAATCCTCTCATGAATGGCAACTCTTTGTCATTCCCAAGACGTGCATGAATGAATGAAATGAATTCCAAAGAATTTGCAAAACCAAAAGTGAAGGAGTGAAGAAAAGAAACTCCCACAAATTGCAGAATTTCAATGGACAAAACATGGGGGAAAAAGTGAAAAGGTCATAGGTTGTTATTTCAATGAGTTACAGGATTCGCATTATGTATTTTATTTATAATGCGAAAGTGTATGCACGTGGATCTCCTGAATCCCATTGGCCTCCTTTATTGAACCTCATGTCGCATTCCACATAGAGAGTTCGAGTTTCCATCGATCGTGTGGCAAAAACTATTCGAGTTATATGGGTTTAGGTAACGCGCCTTCACGTTTTACCTACGTGATGCCACTATTTGACTTCCGGCATTGCCGTATTCACGGATTTTATTACGGAAACGGAAGCTTTGTAGTTTAAAGCTCGATTTTTCTGAAAATAACAGCGGGTGGAGTGCCCCTAGAAAAAGTGATGCATTTGAATGAAATGCAAGCCTTTATTTAAAACTTCTCTATTAACCCTAGATTGGTCACCCTTTGAGGGAGACCCTGCGCGCGTCGTTTTTCTTCAATTTCAATTGACTGGCTAATCGGAAAAATTAAAAAGAGTGTTTTTTTTCGATGTCTTTAAATATTTAAATAAATTTTTTGTCCAACTGAACGTTGGAAAATATTTTTAGAGAAAGTTTAAAGTTCAGTGTTGACGAAAATAACTTCAGGAGTGACCCCGGAAAAATAATGCATTTGAATGAAATATTATAGAAGTCTTTATTTAAATTTCCTCCATTCATTTTAGTAATATTTTCATTGGGAATTAATACGCGACGGGTAGGCGGGGGTTAAGAAATGTCTGAGTGTTTAAGCAAATTTTTCATTCAATTGAAATGCACAATAATGCTGCACTATGATGCATTCATTCTCAATAAATTCGCTTTCAAGACTCATCTACTATCTAGACCGTTGAAGGTTTAATGAGATGTCGACATCGATTAGTGGTTTCTTGTTGTTTCACCTTTGTCTTACTGAACTAATTTCATTGGAATATAATTATGCCTCTCCTAATTTGTCTTGTCCTCCACTGACATTTACAGGAGATTCATTCATCAAACTTAAATTCATTAAGCAAAGAAGCAGAATTGGAAATTTCTTTTTTAAATTAGATAAAGAAAGTTCCCGTGGTTTATTTGGAATCGAATGGTCATTCGTTAATTCATTACGCCTCTCAATATCCAAGAGAGTGGAAAAATGTTCTGCTAGAAATTTACAAGCGCAAATGAAAATTTATTTACAGCACTAATCTTTAGAAATCCGGAGATGAATTATTTGAAATAAATTCATAAATGGTTTTGTTAATACCGCTGAAACTTATATATTCAGGGGAAAATCATTTTCCAACATTTTATTTGTATTAGAATTCAAGTAATTGCCACTGTCCCGGTTTCTGCCAAACTCAGTTATTTTTTAATGAATGGAATCTGAAATTTACCGAGGAAATGTAAACAATTGATCTTAATGCAAAGGGAATTTTCCATTCCTACAGTAAAAACAAACGATTATAATTGCACAATTGCAAACGTTCGCATCCAAAAATCCCAAAATTCCCAAAAATAAAAAAATCGTCTCTTACCTTTTTTTGACTCCACAAGACATTGACAGAAGGCTTTCCACGACGGAAATCCGACTGATCTATGACATCGTCGTGAATGAGGGAAGCACTGTGTATCATCTCAGCAATCATCGCTACCTGTCGTTGTGTCGCTAAGAGACCGCTGAAAACAATAATTCGAGGAATCTTATCGAAATAGTACTGAAGTGCAGCACAGGGTATGCGAAACAGTGAATTTTGTCTGGCATGCAAATACCCAGGACCGGCGGTACAATTTTTTATGAATATCAGAATTTAACATAGGGAAATCTTCATTCATCCCTTCTTTATAGATCTCACTTTTCTCTGTAAAAAATTGAATGAGAATCTGGCATCACACTATTAGTAATTTTTTCAAGTGCAAGTGATACCTACATTTGAATTCTCCATATTGTGCATTTGAATTAAATTTAAGACCAAGTCGTTCATAGAATTTGTTATTTACGTTGAAAATTCGAGGGGGTATATTAAGGTGAAATTTTTATGATAATGAACGAAGAGAAAAGTCGCCTAGAAAACCGTAGCAAATTTTTCGATAAACCTTGGAAATTGGATTGGATCCGAAATGTTTTTTACTTGTTTAGGTGATACATAGAGTCACTCGATAGCTATTTTCATCACCCGAAGACTTTCAAATTTCACCTTGGTACCCCCTTAAAGAAGGGTTATGAGTTTTTCATGTTGAGTGGCCATTGATATTTCAATGACAACATCGAATTTCTAAACTCGTTATGAAAAATGTGAGTCGCATTCACTCGAATTTTCAATAGATTTGACGTTCATAACAATTTCTGCTTGAATTTTAACCATCTTCAATAGTTTTCATTGTCATGTGGATATGTAAATTGCAACTTCCTCCTATATTCGAGAAATTAATTGATTTGTCAGTAACGACACATACAAACTTCATGTAAATCACTCGTCGTTCAAAATTTCAAGATTTTGCTTCCGACGAAGCTTTATATTCGTCAAATCTGAAATTCCTTATTTTTGTGTCAGGGTAATTTGCGCTGAAACTGTATAATTTACTATTCATTATTTACTATTCATGCTATCAAAAATTATTCCATGGCTGTGAATGATTGCTCAAAATTGCGTAATCATTCCCATATGTGGAGGAATTTTTCTGTGACGGAGAATGATATTCTTTACCAAATGGGGTACGGTAAAATTTCACTTTCGTCCGTCCCCATGTCCTTCATATCGGAGCCAGGAAAAAACCCTACCAAACCCTACCGAAACATTTATCGAAAATTTAACAAACGGTTGTCGAATGAAATTAAAAAATCTTTTCTGACTTTTAATTAATTAGTCGTTAAATTTCACTGACTAGTTGGTAAATTTCAACAAATAGTTGTTGATAAATTCACCAAATGATTGTCTCCGCGTACCTTTCATATATCGTAAAATTATACACGAGTTTCTAGTAATTTTTTTTTCAACTTTTCTCTCCTTATATATTCGGTCATGAGATTGATTGCATCATCTGTTGTTGAAAAAATTTATTTTGAAACCAATATTCAGGGACAGGTAAAAAAATTTAACGTTGAGACAATGTTGACTTCCTACGTTGGGGCAATATTGAATTCAGTGAATCATTGAATTCAATTTATTCCATTCGAAAGCGAAATTTCACTGATTAGTTAGTAAATTTCAACAAATAGTTGTTGATAACTTCACCAAATAATTTTCTCCGTGTACCTTTCGTATCTAGTAAAATTATACACGCGTTTCTAGTAATTTTTATTCAACATTTCTCTCCGTATATGTTCGGTCATGAGATTGATGGCATCATCTGTTATTGAAAAAAATTATTTTGAATATTCAGGGGAAGGTAAAAAATTTTAACGTTGAAACAATGTTGACTTCCTACTTTGGGGCAGTACTGAATCCAATGAATCATTGAATTAAATTTATTCCATTCCGAATAAAATTGCTAATTTATTCGCGAAAATATATTGACTATGTTGCGACGAAAATAATTTCCCACTTGTTTTACTTGAAATTGTAGAGGCAATTTTCTAACAGCGCATGATGTGCGGAGTAAGTTCAATTCATTCGGATTCAATACTAAGAACTATTCAAATAAGTCACTAACTTCAATGGTCTCGGGAAAATTAAAATAACGCCGGAGGGAATCGACGAAAATCAAATTAAAAAGGCTCTAAAACAGTATTGGTAGCAATAAAACTCACTTTCTTTCCTTGTGGTAATTGATAGCTCGCGCCATGAGTATGGCAACCATCGGCCGGAGCGCCTTTCCCTGTCCATCGAAGTAGTACGTTGCGATTGTCTTCAGCTCCTCAACATTCGTGTTCATGATGAGTTCCTTCGATAAGAACAGAAAAGTGGTGTTGAGCCATGAGGAGACAATTCTATTGAACAAATTAATGTCAAGCTCGACCTTGACTCAATTTCATGGGTAAAACCCTGGGAGAATTGGACGATTTTCCAGTCTGTCACTCCGTAAAATTGTGCATTGCGTTTTGCAGAGGTCGTTTGTTCATTCTTCTCGGTTTTTGGGAGACGTTGAGGGATTTTTTTTGCGCAAGGATTCCTTTGAAACGGAGGGATTCCTCCTCCTCGAATTCTTCTGCCATTCTAGTCATAATTTTATTTCAGTCGGGACAAAAATGAAATCTAAGACGCTGGGTCATTTGAATGCAGCTCGTGTGGTGCATTCTGGAAAGTCTGGGCGCAATGCCAGAGAATGTGTCTTTTCAAAGAATTTACACGTGAGATTTTATTTATTGTGCGTTGAGAATTGAAAAAAATGGAGAATTCAATGCAGAACTTGACAGGAAAATAGAGTAATTTCAAAATGTTGAGTAATATAGGGTCACGTGAGGCTGAGAGAATCTTGAAATTCCAATTACTTTTTTCCCTTAAATCGAATTCAAGAACTTTTCCTGGTGAATTGAATTTTCTTAACGTGTTTGCTTATAAATTTTTTCTCTTCGAATAAAGTTTTTATTTGAAATAAGGAAAATTTGGTTGTACCTAAGAAAATTGCTGTGCAGGAGTTCAATTTTAAAAAACTAATTCGTAATTGTTATTGCACACATTTTTTCAAAACAAACGAACAATAAACAATTAATTTTTTGCACTAATTATTCGTTTTTAAACATATATAATCGATCTTCAATGTATGAGAAATCACATTCCAACAGCCCGCGACTTTTAAAACTCATAGTAGTCTCCCCTGAAGTCAAATTTTCTTTTTATATTGAGGAAATCTCGATTCTGAGGTTCAGAACTTCTAGATTTTTCATATGCAAACATTTTCGTTTTTGAGTTGATATTTTTCCATACGCAAAAAATTAATCTACTCATATTCATAAATCTTTTGTTACTCAAAATTAATTATGAATTGATGTTACGAGACATTTTAGAAAATTAGATCGCCTACTTTCCGACTTAAGATACCTAAAATATTTCACAAAATCTTGAAAAGATGCATAACATCTTGACAATAGTCAAATTTAGAGACATTGTGTATTAAATTCAGAGACACTATGTATTGCAAATATTTTCCCTGTTATTTTTATTTTTATTGTTATTTTTTTTTATATATATATCCACATTTAATTGATTGATTGATTTTCGTGGGAAGAAAAGTTGTACATTCATATTTATATACTTTCTGGCAGACTGCGATGGGCTGTCGCCTGAAGTCTTAATAAACAGCCAATAGCCAATAGCCAAAATCTTAAAAAGATGCATAAAATCCCCATCACGTAAAATTCGCCGTAATTCTCCGGATAATTTTCCCTCCCCTTTGTTCTCGGCGCCTTAACTAGTGCCTAATAAAAAAAATACCCCCATAATAACAAATCTCCGATGAAAAAACAATGAGCCCTGGACTTTATAAATCATTAAAACGTCCAATTAACCAAGCATCAAGTAATGACTGGCCGATTTCCACTCACCGCCCGAAAAAACTAAGATCATTCCTAACGATGTGCCCAAGTGCTGAATAAACCCCAGACAGTTCAATAAATCTCCACCGATTTTCAATCGCCGCAAATAGAATCGGAGAAAAAAAAATGGAATCGAGAACGATCGGCTGTGTGGCGGGGCGAGGAGGAGGTCAGGGCCGTCGGACAGTGACTCCTTGCGTGACTCTAACGCCTAACAGACAGAGTATATGCTTTCTACGCTACCGATTCTCCACGCGTGAACGATCGGACGACCGTGAGTAAAAGTTCAAGCGTATTTTCATGCACACTAGTGTTTAGATGTGTTGGTCCTGGCTTTCGCTGAGAATGAGAGTTCGTGAAAACTCTCGGGCGCATATTGCTTGCGATTCAGGAGGCATTTTTTGCTGTCTATGAGTGGCTATTGGCGCTGAGGAGTTGACTCACCTGTCGTATGTCATCGTAGACGTCCTTGAGATCGTCCTCGAGGAGTCGATAAGGGTCTACGTGCAGTTCGGGGAGGGAACCGGGCTGTTGTGTCTGCATTGAGCTCATCGATCGACATTTTCCCATTCTCTCTCCGCGGGCTGGGTGCTGCTGCTGAAACAAACAATTGGGATTTTTTTTACGTGATGTTTCGTGGTTTCTCATGATTTTGGCGACTCATCCGGAGGAATGATGCAATTTTCTCTGGCCATTCCCACAATGTTTGAGGTGGAAATGCAGAATCACATGTATTTATTTCAATTCAAAGTTGGTAATTATGTGAAATGATTTAAGCGTTCGAAGAAAATCATTTAAAGTAAAAGAGTGAAGAATTTATTTATTTAGGGTGAGGAATATTTGGTTATTCCTAAAAGGTAAAAAATAGCTATTTGATGTGAACAAAAAGGTTAAAAAATAAAAATTAAATTCAAGTCTGGAAGTTTTTTACGAACTATGCAAATAAACCTATTCATTTCATTCAAGTAAAGTTTATTTAATCAAGAAAAAAAGTTTTAAATTCAGAGATTGTTTTCTGTGTGCAAAAGGGCCCCTTGGAATTTCCCTCTACACCTTGTGTCTTCGACCATATTTGCATAATGAAATAATTAATAATTATCTGATAATTTCATTTTTTTATCATCGACAGAATTTTAAGAAAAATAGATCACAAATACCATCAGCTTAATAATTCCATATTCAAACAAATAATTAAACAAAAACAACCATTGCTTTGATTCTCTCAGTACAATTGTGTCATATTCAATAAATAGTTTTTTTTTAGAAATTGATTTATTCCGAAAAGAAATAGCTGATGTAAAAAAATCAAATCAAATGATATTCAAGTTGTAATGAAATTTTTTACTCCGAACTATTCGAATAAACCTATTTATTCCATTCAAATAAAAGTCATTCCATCGAGAAAAAAATCTTGACTTCAGAGACTTCTTTTCTGTACAAAAAGCCCTTTGACAGTTCTCCTTTGTCCCTTTGAACATATTTCTACAATAGAATAATTAAAAATTATTTGATAAGTTAATTTTTTTATAACTGACAAAATTCCATATTCAACAAATAAATTGCGCAAAAACTAAACATTGACTTTCATTTTTTCATCCCAATTATTTCATATTTGATGGTGAGTTTTGTCTTGTTTTTTGTTTTTTTCTCATCTTTTTACGATAACATCGATAATAATTGAGGTCCTCCCCTAGCAAGTACAAACGAAAACTCCACTCGTGCCTACGAATAATCAAGAAACGTGTCAAATCACCAGAGTAACGAGTATTCGTTCCACCATCTTACTCTATTCATTCAAATAACCGGTGGTTTTCCAACAAAAAAAAATTGTCAACTGCATTATTTCATCACGCACAGTGCGTGCATATTTATTCCGCACTTAAGATAAAATAGCGAATACGAATGAGTAGTGATGGCCAATTTTAAAAGGCGATAATTACACTTCAGCGATTGGCACTTGGGTTTCTACCCTTGGAATGCCTCTTGAGTCGAATATTCGATGGGCATTCCACGGGTTTTTTTACATGTGTAAATAGAAGGCTGTGTCAATGGTGGCACTGGTTTGATTCATTCAAGTAGGGGAGCCACACCCGATTGTTTATGGGGATAGTGAATAAATAAAAATGTTGAGAAAGAAGGAATAAAAATTCGCTGAGTGGATGAATCATTAATTGATCAATTAATCATCAATAATTATGACTGTTTCCGATCGGCATTAATTAAAATTTAATTCATCAATTAGGTTTTTTCAATTTTTTAATTGTTTTGAAAATCGGTTGTCCCACGATAACTAGAAAAAATGTTCTGAATTGATTGAATGACGGCTTAAAAAATTTGTTTGAATGTGCCTTTGACCGAGTTCGAAGATGAAGGCGATCGCAATAATCGTTATTTTGATTTATTCTAAATTTTCAAAAATTTTGTATTTTTTGAAAATCAGAATTCCGGGGATATCTTTGAATATCATGTTCAAATGAATTCAATCATAGCTCTAAATGTTTGTTTTAATGCCATCAAGTCCAAGTTAAAAGATGGTTATGATAGCTATATTGGTTGATTCACGTATGAAAAAATCGTATAGAAAGTTTCTATACGATTTGCGTATAGAATTTCTATAGGTTTTTCGTATATGATATTCGGATATTTCTATACAAAAATTCCCTATACGGATTATTTCTATACGAATTCGTGTAGAAATTCGTATAGAAATGAACCGTATAGGAAATTTTCGTATAGAAATATCCGAATATCATATACGAAAAACCTATAGAAATGCTATACACAGTCCGTATAGAAAGATTCTATACGATTTTTTCCTACGTGTTTGATTTTTATGATTGATGAAAATTTTGAATTTTCCGTGAATTTCCCTGAAAGTAAGTTTTCTGATGGCTTCTTCAAATGTGATGTTTCAAATTCACTCAAGTATGTATAAATAAAATGTTTCTATCAACATTTTATCGAAGGGCTGAGGGGAGAGATAGAACTGTAAAAAAGACAATCGGTTGTTTAGAAAAAAAGGATAATAAGAATAATGATACTGATAACATTAGCAATTAATAACAATCTTATTCAATTTAATGAAATGAAATAAATAACGAATTATCCATGATAGAAGGAAATGATGTGCAAAATAACCATTTAGTAGCAAAAAAATAACTACACTATATACAATACAAGAGTAATTGCCCACTTGTTTCAATTATTTAGAAGTTTACAGTTTAATAAAAATTAATTTACTAATTGTTCTGAAATCTCCGTTGAAAAAGTGAATTTTATTCATGAGTTATCAGTTTCTAGCGGATTAGACATCCGTGTCTGACCACGTCCTCGACTTATTCACTTGCTTGATCATCACTGCAACTTTTCATCTATTACAATCCACTCCAAGAGTCATTGTGATATACCGTCGACCGCATTTTATCATCCAACGGTCTCCCCTTTATATTTCTACATTTTTACTCAATTTATTGATCATTTTTTTTTCCTCACTTTCCAATGCATCATCGTGCGTTTTGTAATGGAGATTCCGAGAGAGTCAGAGGAGAGAAGGTGTGTGCGGTAAGTTGATTACCTGAGCGTTAATAAATCTTTCACGGATGATTTCTCAGTGGGAGGTCAAGAATCTTCGGCATTTTAGAGATGTAAACATTGGAAGCTCGATTTTATCAATTCTCGGAATTTCCTACTTTGAGGAATTTTTTTTTATTAAAACCAATTAATGAGATTCTCGTAATGGAGAAGTGATTGGAGTATTGGAGAGGGTTCGATCAAACTATTATGAAAGTATTTTAGAAAAAATGAGGTTCAGAGAAACTTATTTAGGGAATTTCGTTAGAGCAAACATTAACCTATGACCTGCACAGTGGGTCAATTGACTCGGCTCTAATTTTTTCCCAATGATTGTTGCTACTGCGAAATAATTATCTCCCAGTGATAGATCTTGAGCCGTCAAATACAATTTAATTTCTTTTAATGTCGTAATGAGAGACCAAAATATTCAATTTCATATGAACGCATGAAAAAATTCAATAGAAAACCTAGCGAATTCGCTAGAAAATGCCATTAAAATTCTATAGGAATTCTATGAGATTTCTATAGGATATCTATTGGAATTTTATTGAAAAATTCTATTTCTTTTTTGCGCTGATTCTATTGGATATTTAATAAGAAAAAGTCAATAGATTTCGAATTTCTGTTTGAATTTTTCTCTTTGATTTTTTCTATTAGAATTATTGGGCACTTATTTTCTAAATTGTTTCCACTGGATTTTGTTCTGTTTTGCATTGCAGAATCCGAGCGGAAAAAGCGCAGAAAATTGATGCTCAAGAATTCTTATAGAAAAAGAATCAGCGCAAAAAACAAATGAAATTTTTCAATAGAATTCCAATAGAAACCCTATAGAAACCCCATAGAATTCCTAAAGAATTCCAATAGAATTTTCTAGCGAATTCGCTAGGTTTTCTATTGAATTTTTTCATACGTAAAATTCTGTCGAAAAATGTGCTTTTAGAAAGAGGAGACATTTGACAAAAATTGTGGGTCCAATCGACCCATGTGTGCAAGTAACAGGAGATTAAAAAATAAATGTACAGGAATTAATTGAAAAAATTTTCTATTTTCCAATACCTCAATGTAAAAAATTAATTGTTTATGAATAATGCCTAATAAATATTCTCCAAAAACTACTTCCCCATTTCTTAGATATTTCTAGAATTTTTTCTAACGGTTCACAATGGAGAATCAAATTGCGCGGTTCGAATACTGAATTCTAAATATTCAGAAAACATCCGGAAAAGAAGGGACTTGGATAAGTTCATCAGAAAGTTTCTTCGTAGGAAATTTTACAAATCACAAAAAAAGTCTTCCGATAATTCCACTACTTTCAGAGATATTCGCAAAATAACTGTCTCCCTTCGCGTAGATTAAAGAAACGAGAACACCTTAGAAAAACCCCGTAAACTCCACACATCAGTCGTGTGAGTCAATTATCCACCTGTGACCTTGCAATTCCTGAAGAACCCCGGCTCGCACTGAGTTACCATATACCTAGAGAACTAAAACCATCACGTAACGACCGTGTAATTGCCAGATGATTGCCTGTGAGAGGCAGCGAAATAAATAAAATAAAATCGAAGAGAGAATTCGACATTCCTTGATGAAAAAAAATCCTAAATTGTACTTTAAATTTGGAATTCATTAGATTTTTTGTCAATCAAATGTCTTATTTTCTGTTTTATTCGACCCACGAAGGGGATACAAACATTGTTATTCAAAATAACAATATTTATTTTATTTAATGAAATTTATTTGTGAGTTAATTAATGTGTGCCCATCAAGTCAAATAGTTTTTGCATTAAAATCTTTGGTAGTTGAGACTTAAAAACTATTGAATAAATTGATTCAACTAGACTTGCTTTGAGCAATCCCTTTCCTGTCCTAAGCACATTAGCCTCGTCTTTGGGACAAATCCAAAATTTCTTAACAAAAGTTTTTTTTTTCTCACTGTGAGATATTTTCTTCTTGCTACTTCAATTTTCGAGCCTTGAGTTTCTCGATACAAGCGAAAACATATTTATCAAAAAACTTTTTCGCTC